AGTAGGAGAAAGTTACTCGACATCCAGTCTTTTATGTCTTTTATACAGTCCTCAATCTTGCTAAGTTTAATTTTATCATCCGGTTCACTTGATATATATCAAGTGATGAGTCCAGCTATGAGTCCAGCACAACTCCTGTTTATCTGAAGGGTCTGAATGACTGAGTTCAGCTACACAGTGGAGTTTAGTTCATGTTTATATCTCACAGTAAATCACACTGTGTTCCAAACCACAGCTACAAACTTGTACCACCTTCATGAAGACCTGGATGAGGTTTGAAGGGGTTGAGAGAAGTTTTGGAGATGGATTTACAGAAAAGATTTGGGTGACTATTCACTCCTAGTGTTTGTTAGCTAGATTAGCCTTGTAGCTCCAGTTCTAAGCTAAAGAAGCTGAATTTGGACACCAAACTGGTCTTGGCTGATAGCTTACGTCTGGGGTGAGTAGACAACAGTACACTTTGTCACTATCTAGGAATAATTCCTTTAATTATATTTTGAAAATTATTTGTTATTAATCAAACTTTCATGAAAGTTTATGTTATTGATTATCGTGATCAGAATATATTTATACTTTCTTTATGTATTAACTGAACTAATGCATAATTCATAACAGTTTATGTCACATGACAGTTTTTGCTGTGCATTTTTACCAGTAAAGGTAACATGACACTGTTATACTACTGAACATCTCCGTCATGACAGCTAATGACAGCATATGACATGACATGATCTGCTATGACATCACTATGGCATGATTATGTATTCCAGTGTTACTAATGCATTACTACCTATTTCCATTTATTTTACTTCTGTTTATGCTTGTTTTAGTTGATTGGTTGGGTTTTATTCTAAAGTTTTTTTTTATCTGTTAAATAATGTATTCATATTTATTATGTATTAAATACTATATCATTTATTCAGTTGTCATGTATCTTACAAATGTTTCTTTACCTTGATGTTTTATTAACTTTGCTATATTGAAGTCATGAAGGATTAATAAGAATGTTGTGCAGAAAGTGTTACTGTCTGAGCTGTAATGGTCTGGACTGGGTTATTCTGAGCTGGACTGGACTCTGGACATTTGCATAAAACAGCGTAAGGGACCTTTGATCTTCCCTTTACCTTCAGTGAGGTGTGTAGCTGACCACTACAGCTGACCACTACAGTCCTCTCTGAGGGGTAAGAGGGTAGCAGAGAAGACAACAAAGCTCAAAGTCCAGCCACCTTTGCTTGTATGGTTTGGGAACGCATTACCAGCCCAGAGCTTCAAAATGATACTGTAGTGGGCTCAAAGCAAATTTAGGAGGTTTGCTGTAAATGTTGCTAAGATCATAGATCATTTCAGATCATTTGTTTTCTCAGTTTTAACTGAAATGCTTAACATTTCAAACATATAAACAGACTGTTTTATATAAAACTTATTTAAGGAATAATAAATATTACTGTTCCAGTCTTTGGTTTCTGACAGTGAAAAGATGTTTTTTGTGAAACTCTTGCAAAACAACATGAACAGAGAATTTGATGATGTCTTTTGTGAATATAACTGAGCTGTAATGTTTTGAGTAATTACTGAGTTTTATTTAACAATGATCATTTGTAAAAATATAAAAACATTGTATGTACAAATATGTACATACCTTACATGGAAAAAAAAAAAATGAATAGTAAATAATAAATGTATTATTAGAACAGTGGACTCTGCTGGTTGAAAATGTAAAGAGAATGAAAAAGATTGTACATCATGGAGGAAAAGTATCTTTTATTAATTGGGTAAATGTGGTTTTACCTGTGCTGCTCTCTCTGAGGCTGATCCTCTGTCTGAGGTCCTCAGTGAGCTGGTTCTGGTTTATCTTCTCCAGGATCTTCAGGGTGATCTCCACAGCTCCATTCAGGCCGTAACTCTCCACCATCCTGTCCACAGTGCCATGTTTGTCAGGGTTCTCCATCAGACCCTTCAGAACGCTTTTAAAACCCTCCACTCCTTTGATCAGATTTGCAGCTCTTTTAGAGCGCTGAGTCAGTGACATGTAATGTTCACCATCGTTCATCACTGAACATGAAGAGGCACAACAGACTCAAGTTTAATGGAGAGTTTTCTGTGATCTTATTAATTAAAACCAGAAACACTAAATATTCAGATTTTTAAACACTTCTCTCATCTAGTGACCTCCCACAATGCACTGCTCAAGTCTATTGTCCAGGTTAACAGCAGACAGAGTTTATCATCCTTTAATTAAACTCTGCATTTCCATCTCAGTCCTGTGTCAGAGTGTCAGATGACCACTGCCTTTTAATAATTTTTAATCATATAATAAACTATTTTATAATTAAATGGTTAATATATCACTGCTGTCAGAACAAAACCTCGTATCTCTATTTTTTTGACATGATTTGAAAATACCTGTTGTCTTTTATATTGTGTGTAAATTTCATGATGAATGGACCAAAAGAAAAAACCCAAAATGACTTGGAGAAAAGTCTGGTTCCATTGACTTACATTAAAAGTAGAGTATGTTTTTTCCTTCTCCTGTAGTTCTCATTTTGGAGATATGAGGTTTTGTTCCGACAGCAGTGATATGAATAATAAATGCATAAAAAGTGTCTAGCAAAAGTGTTTACTTCATCCTACTAGATAATGAAATGGGTAAATTAACACACACACACACACACACACACACACACATACACATACACACACACACACACACACACACGCACACACACACACACACTCAGCCTGAACAGTGTGCAGTCTTTCCACACTGAACTACAGTAAACTAGGCTAATGTACACACACAGTACCTCAGAGCAGAGTCAGCTGTTGTGGTTTCAGTCCTCAGTAAAGAAGGAAGTTCCGGTCTGTTTTCATCAGGATGAGCAGGATTAGTTTAGAGAGAACAGCTCAGAACAGCTCTCATCAGACCTCTCTGTTCTCTTACATACACACAGTCTGTGCTTCACCCTGTCCAGTCCCAATGATTATCTGATAAGCTTTCTAAATGGCAGGAACCGGTCAGAACACATTCCAGTCTGCTGCACTGGAGTTGAGGTCTGTGCGGGACTGTATTTTCAGTCCAGCAGAAAATCGGAATCGTTTGTCCCGCACCCGCCCGCAACTTAACGTTTTGTTCCACTCCTGCCCATGCAGTCTCGTCAAGGTGAATTGACATCTAGTATCTGACACAGTCTAATCACAGATACAGATCTCTGCTGAAATAACACGGCAGTCACGGTCATCAGGCTCACTGTGAGTAACTTCACCAAACAGCGTTTATTTCACCATTTAAGAACAGGAATTAAACCACAGTGTTACTGTGAGCGCTGTGGGCATGATTTACTCTCTCTCATCTTTTCAGTCTGATAGTGGACTGATAGTCTCCTTTTGACCAAACAGAGAGCCCGAGCAGACCAAGAGGGATGGGACTTCGTGCTGCAGCCTCTCGGCTCCCTCGTTTGGCTGGCGGTGGTTATGCTGCTCTATTTATTAGTAAATGACTTTATTAGTAAACTTTGCTTGTTTGATCTATCAGCTCTTAACTACACTGTTCTGATGGCTGTTACTGTCGTCACTGTCACTGTTAGCTCTTTGTTTACTGGGTGATGTTAATGTCTGTCTGTTCTTAATGTTTTGAGGTGGTTTCCTCTGGGAGAATGAATCTGCGTGTTGTTCACATGATTGGCTGCTTCACAGCTCTTTAGAATGACATTTTAACTGTTTTACGTTTTCCTTCTATATTGTTTATATATATGATGTTAGTGATCGTTCGACTTTATTTAGGCTGTTCATTAATTTGCGGGATTTCTCTTCATGTGTGCTTTTTTCCCGCCTGCTCCTGCGAGCAACACTGAAAATTACCCCCGCGCGATGTGTAGAACATTAAAGATCGGATGACATCCTCCTCACTCAGTTCAGACAGTCAGAGGATCATCTAAGCCCTGCAGCGCAGCGTCAGCTGAAGACGTCATGATTTAGATATGCACAATGAGGGGAAACAGGTGGACTGAATTTACCATAACACCAGTCACCACTGAACCAACACAGTCATGTGAGCTTTATCTCACAATTTCTTTATACAGTGTAGGTTTATATTCCCTTCAAAATACTTTATTACTGACTTTAATTTATAATTGGTTAAGATTATTTAATAAAACAATAACATTTCTCTGGTGACAGAGATTTATGTGTGTATAGTGTGTGTGTGTGTGTTTGTGTTTGTGAGTGTTTGTGTGTATATATATTAGCGTGTGTGTGTTTGTATAGTGTGTGTGATAAATGTGTGTGTTTGTGTGTTGAAACACAAGATATCATGTCGGGTCCTGCGGGAGTGCAGCCCTCCACACTGAGGACACAATGCAGCTAAAACCCCTGAAGTTCCTGTGTGGAGGTCTTCAGTGTCTCTGATAGTCTTGATTATGTGGTTTCTGACTCTGTATGACTCACTGTTATTATAAACATGGACTAAAGATCATTAGCATGAAGCTAAAAACAGAAGCCTGAATTACTTTCTGAGAATTCAGTGATCAGAGATCAGACTTTGGTAGGGGGTGTGGCTTTCAGGGTTCATTACAGACTGAACTCAAACACACCAGCAGACTCTTAATGCAGTAGATGTTTTAAGAGGAATCAGCCCCGACCTTCTCTGGGTGATCTGGAGTAAACAGAGGACCTGATGTTCTGAGCTTTTAGGTCCAGTTTCAGGTGTAAATCTGTGAGTTCTGTATGAAACACGAGCCTAAAGAACAAATTTATTAAAGTTTTCTGCACCATAAACAGCACCTACTCTGATCTCTCTCACAGTGGGCTGATAGTGAATACCAGTAAATACTGAGTGTATTCCCTTCAAAATACTTTATTACTGACTTTAATTTATAATTGGTTAAGATTATTAATAAAACAATAACATTTCTCTGGTGACAGAGATTTATGTGTGTATAGTGTGTGTGTATGTGTGTGTTTGTGAGTGTGAGTGTGTATATATATTAGCGTGTGTGTGTTTGTATAGTGTGTGTGATAAATGTGTGTGTTTGTGTGTTGAATCACATTTTCGAGAAAACTTTATTTTTATTCTCTTTATTTATTCTGATGAATTTAAACACAGAAAGTTTTGATTTCTTTCATATTTACAGTCTGATATCAAACTGATGAACAACAAATACATTTTCAATGACCCCCCAACCTCTCTCTCTCTCTCTCTCTCTCTCTCTCTCTCTCTCTGGTTATTCTATCTCACACAGACTCACCAAGGAGTCATAAATAATCCAGAATCCAGCGTAGAGCGGTTCAGTGAATGTGGTGGTCAATGTGTGAAGGTGGGTCAGTGTGTGTGTGTTAGGGGAGATGGTATAGAAGGACAGAGTGCCGGACCCCCAGTCCAGATACACTCCTACTCTGTTAGAGGGGGAGGGGGGGGCAGGTAGGTCAGTTACTTGATTATTGTGTATGACAGAGTAACTGTTATTAGTGCAGTTCAGAGTCCAGGAGTGATTATTGAATCCAAAAACACAGTCATAACTGCCTCCTTTCCTCCTGATTCCTCTGTATGATACTGATATATAAACCCATCCGCTCCACTGAACCTCCCAGTAACAGCGTCCAGTCAGACTCTCCACACTCAGAACCTGAGGACAGTAATCAAATCTTTCTGGATGATCTGGATACAACTGAACTCCTCCCACAATCTCCACCTTTCTGTTCCTCTCAGACAGAGAGAGACGTCTGTTCACTGTGTTTGGATCCAGAGTGAGATTAACAGCATCTGTACACACACACACACACACACACACCACACACACACACACACACACACACAGATGCACAGTCACACATACAGATAGATACACACACAGACACACACATGCACACAGATACACACACACCACACACACACACACACACACAGATACACACACACCCACACATGCACACAGATACACTCACACCACACACACACATATATACACACAGAGGAGATACAATACAGAAAAAAATTGTGTGTGTGTCTCTGTAAGATATGAGTGTGTATGTGTGGTTGTGTGATATGTATATCATATGTATTTGTGTGTATAGTATATTGTGAGTGTAATGTGTGTGGGTCTGTATAATTTGTGTGTGTGTTTGTATGGTTTGTGTGTGTGTGTTACATTTCTTCAGTCCTGGTTTGATCCTGATCTTCCCTCCATGATCCACCCTGAAGAACAAACACACACATTTATACATTCAATAAACTTCATATCAAATCAAAACTAAAATAAAGACTAAAACAGATCATTACACTATAAAATACCCTTCAGACCTTACAGTCCAGATGAAACTAAACTAAAATAAAGAGTAAAACATTAAACTGATCAAACAAAATCACCCAGTTAGGATGCTTGGCTCTAAATCACATCGCAGGTCTAGTTAGCACTAAATCACAATGCTAGGCTAGATAGCGCAAAATCACAGTGGTGGGGTAGCTAGCATTAAATCACACTGATAGGCAAGTTAGCGCTAAATCACAATGATAGGCTAGTTAGCTCTAAATCACATGGCTGAGCTAGTTAGCTCTAAATCACATTGTTAGGCTAGTTAGCACCAAATCACACTGCTAGACTAGTTAGCTGTAAATCACACTGCTAGGCCAGTTAGCACCAAACCACACTGCTAGGCTAAAAGACTAAAAAGAAGTCCCTGAAGTCCCAGGACGCAAAGCAGAACAGAAATGGAGGAAAATTAAACTAACTATTTATTATGAAATTCGTAAAAATTGTATTAATATTTATAACAACGTAATAGGAACAGAAAAACAGAAATACTACTCAAAACTTATTTATGACAACAGACACAATTTTTATTTTTATTTTAATAATTTAGTTCTATTTTTAATAATCGCCTATTAAATCCTAAATTACACAGTGTGAGCAAATCAGAAACTGCTAATTTAAATGAAAGCTCCCTGGGCCAATCAGAAAATGTGACCATGTTCTCTCACACACTCTATCAAACTCTCTCACATTCACTATCAAGAATGCCTTAGAGTTTGATAGTGAGTGTGAGAGAGTTTGATAGTGAGTGTAAGAGAGTTTGATAGCAAGTGTGTGAGAGTTTGATAGTGAACATGAGAGAGTTTGATAGTGAGTGTGGGAGAGTTTGATAGCAAGTGTGAGAGTTTGATAGTGAGTGTGAAAGAGTGATCGCGAGTGTGATAGAGTTTGAAAGTGAGTGAGAGTGAGTTTGATAGTGAACATGAGAGAGTTTGACAGTGAGTGTGGGAGTGTTTGATAGCAAGTGTGAGAGTTTGATAGTGAGTGTGAAAGAGTTTGATGGCGAGTGTGAGTTTGATAGTGAGTGTGAGAGTTTGATAGTAAGTGTGAGAGTTTGATAGCAAGTGTGAGAGTTTGATAGTGAGTGTGAGAGTTTGATAGTGTGTGTGAGTGATATCTAGTGTGAGAGAGTTTGATAGTGAGTGTGCAAGAGTTTGATAGCGAGTGTGAGAGAGTTTAATAACGAGTGTGCGAGAGTTTGATAGCGAGTGTGAGAGAGTTTGATAATGTGTTTGATAGCGTGTGTGAGAGAGTTTGATAGCGTGTGAGAGAGTTTGATAGCGAGTGTGAGAGTTTGATAGCGAGTGAGAGTTTGATAGCAAGTGTGAGAGTAAGACAGAGTGTGAGAGAGTTTGACAGCAAGTGTGAGAGTTTGATAGCGAGTGTGAGAGAGTTTGATAGAGAGTTTGAGAGGGTTTGATAGAGAGTGTGAGAGAGTTTGACAGCAAGTGTGACAGAGTTTGATAGTGAGTGTGGGAGAGTTTGATAGCGAGTGTGAGAGTTTGATAGTGAGTGTGAGAGATTGATAGCAAGTGTGAGAGTTTGACAGAGAGTGTGAGAGAGTTTAATAGCAAGTGTGAAAGAGTTTGATAGTGAACGTGAGAGAGTTTGATAGTGAGTGTGGGAGAGTTTGATAGCAAGTGTGAGAGTTTGATAGTGAGCTTGAAAGAGTTTGATCGTGAGTGTGAGTGAGTTTGATAGTGTGAGAGTTTGATAGCGAGTGTGAGAGAGTTTGATAGAGAGTGTGAGAGGGTTTGATAGAGAGTGCGAAAGAGTTTGATAGCAAGTATGAAAGAGTTTGATAGTGAACATGAGAGAGTTTGACAGTGAGTGTGGGAGAGTTTGATAGCGAGTGTGAGAGTTTGATAGTGAGTGTGAGAGGGTTTGATGGCGAGTGTGAGTTTGATAGTGAGTGTGAGAGTTTGATAGCAAGTGTGAGAGTTTGATAGCAAGCGTGAGAGTTTGATAGTGAGTGTGAGAGTTTGATAGTGTGTGTGAGTGATATCTAGTGTGAGAGTTTGATAGTAAGTGTGAGAGAGTTTAATAGTGAGTGTGAGAGAGTTTGATAGCGAGTGTGCGAGAGTTTGATAGCAAGTGTGAGAGAGTTTGATAGCAAGTGTGAGAGTTTGACAGAGTGTGAGAGAGTTTGATAGCAAGTGTGAAAGAGTTTGATAGTGAGTTTGAAAGAGTTTGATAGTGAGTGTGAGTGAGTTTGATAGTGTGAGAGTTTGATAGCAAGTGTGAGAGTTTGATAGTGAGTGTGGGAGAGTTTGATAGCAAGTGTGAGAGTTTGATAGTGAGTGTGAGAGAGTTTGATAGAGAGTGTGAGAGGGTTTGATAGAGAGTGTGAGAGGGTTTGATAGAGAGTGTGAAAGAGTTTGATAGCAAGTATGAAAGAGTTTGATAGTGAACATGAGAGAGTTTGACAGTGAGTGTGGGAGAGTTTGATAGCGAGTGTGAGAGTTTGATAGTGAGTGTGAAAGAGTTTGATGGCGAGTGTGAGTTTGATAGTGAGTGTGAGAGTTTGATAGCAAGTGTGAGAGTTTGATAGCAAGTGTGAGAGTTTGATAGTGAGTGTGAGAGTTTGATAGTGTGTGAGTGATATCTAGTGTGAGAGTTTGATAGTGAGTGTGAGAGAGTTTAATAACGAGTGTGAGAGAGTTTGATAGCGAGTGTGCGAGAGTTTGATAGCAAGTGTGAGAGAATTTGATAGCAAGTGTGAGAGTTTGACAGAGAGTGTGAGAGAGTTTGATAGCAAGTGTGAAAGAGTTTGATAGTGAGTTTGAAAGAGTTTGATAGTGAGTGTGAGTGAGTTTGATAGTGTGAGAGTTTGATAGCAAGTGTGAGAGTTTGATAGTGAGTGTGGGAGAGTTTGATAGCAAGTGTGAGAGTTTGATAGTGAGTGTGAGAGAGTTTGATAGAGAGTGTGAGAGGGTTTGATAGAGAGTGTGAAAGAGTTTGATAGCAAGTATGAAAGAGTTTGATAGTGAACATGAGAGAGTTTGACAGTGAGTGTGGGAGAGTTTGATAGCAAGTGTGAGAGTTTGATAGTGAGTGTGAAAGAGTTTGATGGCGAGTGTGAGTTTGATAGTGAGTGTGAGAGTTTGATAGCAAGTGTGAGAGTTTGATAGCAAGTGTGAGAGTTTGATAGTGAGTGTGAGAGTTTGATAGTGTGTGTGAGTGATATCTAGTGTGAGAGTTTGATAGTGAGTGTGAGAGAGTTTAATAGCGAGTGTGAGAGAGTTTGATAGCGAGTGTGCGAGAGTTTGATAGCAAGTGTGAGAGAGTTTGATAGCAAGTGTGAGAGTTTGACAGAGAGTGTGAGAGAGTTTGATAGCAAGTGTGAAAGAGTTTGATAGTGAGTTTGAAAGAGTTTGATAGTGAGTGTGAGTGAGTTTGATAGTGTGAGAGTTGATAGCGAGTGTGCAACGGTTTGATAGTGAGTGTGAGTGAGTTTGATTGTGTGAGAGTTTGATAGCACGTGTGAGAGTTTGATAGTGAGTGTTAGAGAGTTTGATAGCGAGTGTGAGAGAGTTTGATAGCGAGTGTGAGAGAGTTTGATAGCAAGTGTGAGAGTTTGATAGCGAGTTTGATAGTGAGTGTGAGAGGTAAGTTAGAATTTCGGCCTAAATAGCCAAAGTCTGTAAGAAGTTAAACTCAGTGTGTAACATGTGTTCAGTATATATGAAGTTAAAGTCAGTGAGTAAGATGTGTTCAGTCTGTAAAAAGTTAAACTCAGCGTGTAAGACGTGTTCAGTCTGTAAGAAGTTAAACTCAGTGTGTAAGACGTTCAGCCTGTAAGAAGTTAAACTCAGTGTGTAAGATGTGTTCAGTCTGTATGAAGTTAAACTCAGCGTGTAAGATGTGTTCAGTCGCAATTCAAAAACAAACACATATACCGTCAAACATTACGGTCAGTAATGTGGATAATTACTATCTGTGTACAGAGACAGTAAGTCAGTAACTCACTCTAGTTTCTCCAGTTTACAGTGTGGATCCTCCAGTAGATCAGACAGCAGCTTCAATCCAGACTCTCCTGGGTGATTATAAGTCAGATCCAGTTCTCTCAGGTGGGAGGGGTTTGATTTCAAAGCTGAAGCCAGAGAAGAACAACCTTCAACTGTAACCATACAGCCAGACAATCTACAGAAAGGAAGGTAAAATAGAGACAGATGGCATTTACATACAGTAAAACCCAGCTGCCGTACAGAATTGGACTGCAGCCAGTTCATAACAAACAACTGATGGAGAAAATGAGTGAAAGTTGAAGTAAAATCTTGTTTCTATTTACAAATTAATCTATTTAAAAGTGGGTTGCAAACCACAAAGATAGCCCTACTGAAGCCCACCCACTGGATTCCTGACAGCATTAGCCCCATGATGGCCAGAAAATGAACCTGCAGTAAAGAGAAACAGAAAACAGGCTCCAGCTCTCCACACTGGAAAGCCTTTAAAAGGAAAACCTGCACACCAGTGTGTCTCAGTAGCCAATTAGGTCAAAGCTCCCCCTCTCAATTCCACCTGCAACACACTCATGGCCAAACAAACTTAACAGCCCGCAGGGTCATCACACTTTCTCCCTCAAAAAAAGTACTGACATAACCCCACATAAAAAAATACACTTTATATACCACCAACCACTAAGATGTGCAAAAAAAAAAATTAACATTTTACAATTTTCATCAATATTAGATTTTCATCAATATTGTCCCATCCAATACGTCCTTGCACTTCCCCGGCCCTGGGAAGTTTAAAGACAGCAAAAACAGGACAGAACACCAAGTAACTTTGACAAATATCAAGAACATAAGGGTGCAAGAAAAGGCACCAGCTCATCACAAACCTGAGACAAGGAGGAGTGGGCATTACCAGTAAAGGTGGTGACACATCACACTATGCAACCCCCCCCGCCCGCCAGGTTGTTTCCCAAAATTACTGAAGACCCCATCCACAGGGAGCCTCAAGTTTAATGTGGTCTGAAAAACAAGAAACTCTATGCAGTGGAACCAAAAAATTGCTAAACCACGAAAGGAGGGATACAAAAATGATACAAAAGATGTTAAACAAGTGTGTGAAAGCCCCTCGCTACTTGACACTGATAGGAGACAACTAAGTAGACCCTGATCTTCAAACAGTTACTAGTGGTAAGTATTTATACACTGAAGCCCAATAGTGCAAATAAATAAATAAATAACAGGCCGCACTAAGCACCTCAGATGTGCCCCTGAGTCAACTGCTTCATGTACAACCATCATTCAAAAATAACAAACCAAAACAAAAAAGGGCTTACATGACCAAATGGACAAGCCGCTGTACCTACCAAGGAAGACGGCTTCCAATACACAAAATATGAACCAAACTGGCACCAAAACAAAGCCAAACTAATCATATGAGCCCTATGGAGCCCCGCCGGTGACATCTTGTATAAATAAAAATAATGCATGGCCACGCCTTATTAACACGTGGGAACGAGATCCTAAAGCGTGGCCACGACTTAGTAAAGCATGGGAATGAGATCACAGCTTACTAAGTCATGGCCACGCATTAGGATCTCGTTCCCACGCCTTACTAAGTTGTGGCCACGCAATATTTTAATTTATACAGGAAGTCACCAGCGGGGCTCCGTAGAGCCCAATGCTAACAGGAAATATTTTCAATTTAACCTTACCACAATCACCCCTCCCCCCCTGAAAAATGCTGGCAAACCCCAGCAAGTATATTAGCCAGGAAAAAGCACAGCCAAAAACAACACAGTCCCCACATTGTTACAGAACAGCCACCAGCCAGTTCATAACAAACAGTTGAGGGAGATGATGAGGCTCCAGCTCTCCACATTGGAAAGCCTTTTAAAGAGACCCAAACACCTGCACACCAGTGTGTCTCTGTAGCCAATTAGATCCAAGCTCGTCCTCCCAATTTCACCTGCAACACATTCAGGGCAAAACAACCAAACAGCCTGGAGGATCAGCACAATATATATCAACACTCTGACCCTGAACAGGAGGGAACAAAAACACAAACTGCCTCAACATCTTCACACAACTACTTAAAACATGAAAAAAATCTTACTATGATTCAGAGCTTCCAAGACTCCAAAGCAGAAACCATTTTCCTCCTGGAAGCATCACAGAGTTAATATATAGATAAATAGGCATCCAGGAAACATAAACACCATTAAAGTAAAACAAATTTTAATTAGAAGGGAAACATAACCTGTGACCTCATCACAAAAATCAATGTTTGAGACATTTAAAACAACATCTAGATGAACCAGAGGCATTTTTGAAGGAAGAGCTGTTTGCTGATCAATGATGAAAAATGGAACTCTTTGGCCACCGACGTAGGGGTAGTAAAAGAATAAGTCGCTAATTACTTCTTTCAAAATTGAATGTGCTTACATTACTTATTACTACCTGAATAAGTGATCTCACTATACTTTACTTGTATGTTACTCTGAAACCTATTTCCACCCCTCCCTCCAATTCACTCCGTATCATGACAGCTTTCAAACCCATAGTTCACATCCACCTCAGACTGAATGAGTTTCTGTTTTAAGTTTGCTCCTTTCCCTTCTCTAATTTTCTTTGTTAATTTAATAATTTTTGGAGTTCAGCTCTGCACTTGTTTCATTCTTACACAGGGTCAGTCAGCCCCACAACAGGAGCTCACTCTGCTGGCCTGAGCACTGAGACATTTAACTTAAATAAAGTTCAAACACTGTTCAAATTCAAACAATGTATTTTCATTACTTTCTTTCATATCTTTCTTCTCCTTCTAATCTAATGTCCTATAAATGTCCCATCTCTATTCTCAGCCCAGGTGATTGAGAGGTAAGAGAACACTGTTGTTTTCTCTGATTTTGCATATTTCACACTAAATTGATTAGGATACTCAGATTAAATGTCATATAAGACAAGGAGAACTTGAGGTAAAAACAAAAAAAGTTTTCAAAAGATCATTTAAAAAGGTAACTGCCCATAAACTTAAATAACTGGTTGAGCCACCTTTTACAAGAACAACTGTAACCAAACACTCAAGTCATTTGTTCCACTCTTTTTTTGCTTTAATTCAGCCAAGGCTTTTGAGCATAAGGTGTCACAGCATCTCAATGGGTTTAAATCAGGACTAGGCCACTCAATAACCTTAATCTTGTTTGAGCCATCCAAAGATGGACTTACTCTTGCGCTTGGGATTTTTGTCTTGCTGCATAACCCAATTATGCTTGAACTTTAGATCATCACTGATGACTAAATATTTGCCTGCAGGATCCTGTAGTAAAAAGCAGAATCCATGGTTCCATCAATTATGGCAAGTCACTGAGGCCCTAAAGTAGCAAAGCACCACCACATCATCACACTACCACCTCCATGTTTCACAGTTGGTATGATGTTTCTTACTGTGGAATGCTTTACACCAGATTTAATGGCACCCCTGTTTTCCAAAATGTTCCACTTTTGACTCATTAATCCACAGAACACTATTTCAAAAGGCTTGGGGGTCATCAAGGTGATTGATCGTGGTGTAGTATGCTGCTTGTTGAGACATTTTGGCCTAAATAACATTGTTGGAGGAGTTATATTTAAGTGGTGTTTAAATTCAACAGGGCTGGGAGTAATCAAGCCTGGGTGTGTCTATTTTAATTGATCCCAAATATCAAGTAAATATCATTAATTGACTTAATGAGTAACTCAGTGAGCAATTACTTTTTCACATAGAGCCAGTTGGTGTTGGATAACTATTTTCCCTCAATAAATGAGGGAAACAGAGTTTTACATTTAATCATGTTCCCCGTTTTATGTTTCTTGTGATTATCTAAAACTGTTTAGTGTCAAATATTCAAAATTGAGGAAATCAGAAAACACTTTTTCCACAGCTCTGTACATATGTAAATGTTTTGTGTTGCTATTATACTGATAGCAAATAAATGCTTAAACAGAGCTGAGGTGCAACAAAGTAGTCAATTACAGCAAACTGAATGAATGTACTGTCCAGTATCATACTGTGATAAAACTTTCCTATGATGTTGAAAAGAAGGTAGCATGACTGCCTTTTTGAGTGTGCTGTATCTCAAACTGTGAATTAACAGATCAATTCTTTATAACTTAGGTCCTGTTGGCTTTTTAATAGAAATGTAATAAAATATGTTTTAGGGCAGCCACGATAATGTAAGTTAAAACAAATCATTTTACAGTGAATTGGGGTTAGAAACCAAGAGGTTTCTAATAATTTCCTTTTTTTTTAGCTTATTTTACACAAATATGTTAAAGATTTACTGAACAGTCTAACAGATTCTTTATATGGTGGTCATTTGTAATTTGTAAATGAGTGAGGGTTATGTTTCTGATCTTATTAGGCATCACGCCTACATGTGGCTCTGAGACACACTCAGACTACATCTCGTTTGATCTTTGTAACCGCTCTTTCTGCCACATTACATTAGGATATTTGACCTAATTGTGCTCCAATTACTCTGCTGTTGAGATGCTGTAAACAGACATTATTCACATTGTGAAGCTGTGATCATTTTAAATGTCTGTTGTGTGCAACTATTATAAAGCAGAACATAAATGAAGGACAGTAATTAAAAAAAAAGTGGGCCAATGACATGAAGAACACATCACTGCAGCTCTCACAGACCTTCAGCATCTCGGAATTCTCAACAGTCTTAGGATTTGGGTGAGGATTAGTACCAGGGTTAAGTTCATCACCAGGGTGAGGGTTAGTTTTAGGCTTTGGGATGATATTATGGTTAGGTTTAGGGTCAGGGTAATTTTTATCTATTTGAATGTAAATTAAATGAATATGTAATTATTATATGTAATTGAATGTAAATTAAATGAAAGATAAGCATCTACAAGGCATTGACAATGTGATCTCCAAATAAAGTGTCAACTAATAATAAAATTAAATTGAACAGTAAAGAACTAACATCATATCAATAGTTGCAGGCTGAGTGGAGGTGGTTAGAGTTAACCTAAGTGAAGCTTTAGAGTTTTCTGTAATGCATTATAGTTCGCTGGTGAACTAAAACTAAAAGCAGATTTTCTCAGCTCAGTAAAAACTTTAAGAATGTGACAAGTCACAAGAGCTGAATATTTTCTGCAATTCCTGAGCAGCTGAAGAAACCCCGTTACATGTAAATCTTTTAGCACCCCCTGCAGCAGCCCCTGAACAATATTATTAAGCCAAGCCTGTCCATATTGTTTTTGTGATCAAAAGTTATTATTTGTTTTATTTCTTTTCCATCAAAACATTTCAGCACAAAACTATGACTTATCTCACTCATCTACCTTAATGAGCAGAGAAAGTACAGAATAGATTATCCATACATTCCTATCATAGCTGACAGATTACAGACATTGGACCACAGTATCTTCAAGTATCTCTGCACCCACAAGCCTCCAAACATATGCCACACCCTAAACCTTATGACTTTTATCCAGAGTTTAAAGCTGAGGCCTGTTTATATCTTATATCACATATATTCAATAAGGCTATGAGTTTGTGAAAGTTACACAGTGGATTATCTTTGGTTAGCTGTTCCAACATAAACCGATTTCTTATTCCTTCCACACCTCAAAACTGTGCAGATAAGCAGCGATACCAACTGCTGTTCCTTTGAGTCATTAGATTTCTTCCATCATTTACAGCACTGCTTCAGTCTATATGTGTGCTTATATGTTTTGTATGTCTATGTATATCCATAGTCTGGGTTTGCTATGGAGAGAAAGTATATGTCCTTTCATGTTTTCTTCTATTCTCCAACAAGTGTTATTCTTTTCTTGTGTCAGCTGTATTTACTTACAGTTGTATGTCCTTTTGTTTTTGTTCCTCCTGAGTTGAGGACATTGACTCCTTCACCTCCCTCCTTCACCTTCTCCTCTAAATTTTTATCCTCCCTTCAACTTTTTCTCCTTCCTATTTGCTCCCTCCTCTGACCCTCAGTGTCTCTACTTAAATCATGTCAGAGTATGTGTTCACTGGACTGGTGACAGACTGATAACCAAGCTGTGTCTGTGCATGATTCTCTGCAAACACGTGAATAAAAGTCAAAATCTGAAGATCCAGTCTCTGACTCTTCCTCCTGAATTTCTAACACTACGTGCTAAAGCTGCTAGGCTCACTACATCACTGAAATAGCAGCATACTGACCATGATGTTTAGTAAACATTGTGTAGGGTGGTACAAAAGTTCAACTTGCCAATATAAAATATTTTTTATCTCCCACTTCATGTGGGAGGTATAGTTCCCACTTCAAATATCTCATGACCTTGTAAAATATTCTGGGACCGCACTTCCAAGAGATTTCTGAGGAAAAACTTTTACCTTGTAAAAAAAAATAAATATCAAATAAATTACAATTAAAGTATTAGAAAACTATTTAAACAATATGGTAATAAATAGTTTGTAAATCATTTCCTTAGGAAATGTACTTCTTTGACTGTTTTAAAAGTAAAGCTATCAACAGTGTCTTCAAATCTTTTTCCTCTAATTTCAAGACTGACACTATTACCAAGCCTTGGAAGTATGCCTGCTCCACTTTTATACTAAAGTAGGCTTGAAGTTTCAGTGCAAATGCATTTCACCATACAAATAAACTATACTGCCAAAAGTATTCACTCACCCATCCAAATCATTGAATTCAGGTGTTCCAATCACTTCCATGGCCACAGGTGTATAACACCAAGCACCTAGGCATGCAGACTGCTTCTACAAACATTTGTGAGAGAATGGGTCACTCTCAGGAGCTCAATGAATTCCAGCATGGTACCGTGATAGGACGCCACCTGTGCAACAAGTCCAGTTGTGAAATTTCCTTGCTGCTAAATATTCCACAGTCAACTGTCAGTGGTATTATAACGAAGTGGAAGCAATTGGGAACGACAGCAACCCAGCCACGAAGTGGTAGGCCATGTAAAATGACAGAGCAGGGTCAGCGGATGCTGAGATACTTTCTGCAGAGTCAATCACTACAGACCTCCAAGCTTAATGTGGCCTTCAGATTAGCTCATGAACGTGCGTAGATAGCTTTGTGTAATGGGTTGCCATGGCCGAGCAGCTGCATCCAAGCCTTACAACCTTGGTGTGGAAGAACTTGACTGCCCTGCACAGAGTCCTGACATCAACCTGACAGAACACCTTTGGGATGAATTAGAGTGGAAACTGCCAGCCAGGCCTTCTTGTTCAACATCAGTGTCTGACCTCACAAATGTGCTTCTGGAAGAATGGTCAAAAATTCCCATAAACACACTCCTAAACTTGTTGAAAGCCTTCCCAGAAGACTTGAAGCTGTTATAGCTGCAAAGGGTGGGGAGACATCATATTAAACCCTATGGATTAAGAATGGGATATCACTCAAGTTCATATGCGTGTGAAGGCAGACGAGCGAATACTTTTGGCAATTATAGTGTATATTTAGAGTTGTTTCCTCTAGTCTGTAATTGCTATTTAGCTTATCAGAGCACATGCTAAATACTAGTCATTACAATAATGTTTTGCATGTAATTACAATGAGCTTAATAGCAGAAACAAGAAAATTGAAAAAAAAAAACTAAAGATTTAGTGTTCATTTTTACTGGTGGTTAGTCTAGTTTCTTGCAACAGACTCAAAGAAACTCAAAGAAGAATTCTGAATTGAATGAGAGAGAATATTACATGACAGCTCACTACACATTCATTACAGGAATAAGGACAGAGAGACAATAAAAAATGATGTTGAGTTACTGATTTGCCAGGTCATTGATTCTTTAACTTTTTTTAATTCAGGATTGAATTCAAAGAAAGCTCACCTGAGTGTCTCCAGTTTACAAAATGAACTCTTCAGTCCAGCAGAGAGCAGCTCCACTCCTGAATCCTGCAAATCATTGTTACTGAGGTCCAGCTCTTTCAGGGAGGAGTTTGGTGATTGTAGAGCTGATCCCAGATTTTCACAAGCTTTTGCACCAAGACTACAGATGTGTAGTCTGCAAACAGGCAATACAATGTAGTCAAAGAAGGATTTCTTCATACAGTAACATGTACTGTGTATGTATATATATATATATATATATATATATATATATATATATATATATATATACAAAATTCAAAACCTAATTAATTATGTTAGTATTTTATGTTTACATTTTATTGTGCCTTATCAGCTTATTTCCATTCAAGAATTGATTCACATAAAGTTCACCTGAGTGTTTTCAGTTTACAGTGCGAGTTCTTCAGTCCAGCAGAGAGCAGCTTCATTTCTGAATCCTGAAGGTCATTGTTACTCACATCTAGCTCTGTCAGAGATGAGTTTACAGACTTTAGAGCTGATGAAAGATTCTCAGAGGAACTTGTGGTGAGACCACACCTGGCTAGTCTGTAAAAGTCAGAATAAATATAGTACATGGTGTAATCAGGAGAACTGTAATAGAATTACTTTACTCTCTGCATTCTACTTTGTCTTTCAGAATGTATATAATATGAGATACTCATAGGTTAATTATTCATGTCGTCCCATTTACAACAGAAAACATAGCTTATAGTTTTTCTCTCTAAGCAGAGGTTACCTGTTTCGTGGCATAAAAAGTTAACTGCTACAACAACACAGCCAATATATGATATAAATAAACTTAGAGCAGACCTTGCAATATACTGAAAGAAGCATTTTTGAATAGATTAAGAAAAAAATATTATGCTTTATGGCAGCAGATTATACTTTGTGTCTTTTCATATTTCAAGGATGGCTAGAGACAGAGATTCAGTAGAAGTATAAAACCATGTGAAATGAATATTAAAATTGCACATAAATCTATTATTGTAAGGTTACCATTTATTATAGTCTGCCATTTCTTTATAAAAAATTTATTCACACAAAGTTTACCTGAGTATCTCCAGTTTACAGTGTGAGTTCTTCAGTCCAGCAGAGAGCAGCTCAACACCTGAATCCTGAAGGTCATTGTTACTTAGGTCTAGTTCTTTCAGAGATGAGTTTACGGATTGTAGAGCTGATGATAGATTCTCACAGGAACTTGTGGTGAGACCACACCTGGCTAGTCTGTAAAAGTCAGAATAAATATAGTACATGGTGTAATCAGGGGAACTGTAATAGAACTACTTTACTCTCTGCATTCTACTTTGTCTTTTAGAAGGAAGTATACAAGATATTTATAGCTTGATTACTTATCCATGTGATCCCAGTTAAAACAGAAAAACACATCAATTTTTTCTCTGTAAGTAGAAGCTCCCTGTTTAAGACCATAAAAAGTTAACTGCCACAAAAATGCAATGAATATATGATATAATTAAACTTAGAACAGATCTTGCAATATACAGAAAGAAGCATTTCTGAATAAAGAGAAAAAGAATGTTGTTTTTTCAGCAGCATACTATATTTTTAGTGTGTTTTTATATTTCAAAGATAGCTAGAGAAAGAGATTCAATAGAAGTTTAAATTCATGTGAAATAATATTAAAACTGCACACAAATGAATTACTGTAAGATTGCAGTTTATTATAGTTTGTCGTTTTTTAAAAAAAAGTTCACCTGAGAGTCTCCAGTTTACAGTGCAAGTTCTTCAGTCCAGCAGAGAGCAGCTCCACTCCTGAATCATGAAGGTGATTCTTACTCAGATCTAGCTCTTTCAGAGATGAGTTTATGGATTGTAGAGCTGATGATAGATTCTCACAGGAATTTGTGGTGAGACTACACCCAGCTAGTCTGTAAAAGTAAGAATATAGTACATAATATAATCAGGAGAACTTTAATAGATAATAAATAATTTACCTTGCTCCATATTCTACTTTGTCTTTACTTTTAGAAATAAGTGGAAAAGATATTTATAGCTTGTTTTTTTTCTCTTTAAGTAGAAGCTAACTGTTTAGGACCATAAATAGTTAATGGCCACAATAATTCAGCCAGTATATGATATAATTGAACTTGTTTTTAACTTAATTTTATTCTCAATATTTTGAGCTCAGCAAATAAATGGTAATTGAACATTAAAATGCAAGACAGTGTCAAGCCTTTTCATGTTACAGTAAATTCTTTTCACTTAGACATGACCTAATTATGGTCCTCATAGACCTAATTATGAGATTATTTATTAATCAGAATTTCTGATCCTAATTATCAGAATGTATACTGATATTTACCTAGAGTTTAGTGTTAAACCAACAGTGAAATAGAAATCTAAATAGTAAATCAATTCTGTGGAATCAGCTGTTTCTGGAAGGATGTTGCTATTTTTTCGAACAAATCACAAGCATATAAGACCTCTTTTTGTAGAAAAAGTAGCAAAAGTGTCTCAAAAGGAAAGACTAAATCAAAGAATAGAATGTTTGTGCTTCACAGTAACTTTACAATATACAGCATAGTTTGTTGATTTTTGAAGTAAAAAAAACATCTACAGCAAAAGTATATCGCTAATGCAGTTACTTTATATTTATTTAATGCTAAACATAGAAAAAAAATGAATAGTAAATATAGAATGTTTAAATGTTGGATGCTATGCTAAGTCAGTACTTAGTACCATCCCTTTTACCAGATACCAATTTTTTTTTTAGTCCAGCTAGTAGTATTTCTGTTCACATTTTAGGAATTTTTCCCCACTCTTCCTTACAGGACACTTCTAGCTCTGTGATATTCTTGATCTGTCTTGCATGCACTGTTGGGACTGTGAAGGCCATTCCAAAAGGTTCAGCTTCAGTTTCTTAAAGTAGTTCATGATGGATTGTGGAAGTATGTTTTGGATCACCGTCCTGTAGTAGAAGCCAGCACCAGCCACCAGCCTCTTTTCAGCTTCCATTTCACAACTGACACATTTGCTACCATACTATCTGCTGAGGGAATTCACTATTGCCATTACTGTCATTGGTTGCATCCCATCGGCAGCTGACGCAAAAGTGGCATGTGGCATCATACTCTTGGCTATCATGAGACTTCAGACTCGGTACCTGAACTCTTTCACTGCCATTTCTGGGAATTTTTAATCATGTTTCACCTTCACCACTTTACCAAAGTTCCACCAGTTTGGTAAATGTGCAACCAGGGAGAACAGAGTGCTGGATCTTCTGTATGCAAATGTTGAGGACGCTTACTGTTCATCTGCCTTTCCTCCACTGGCAAGACTGGAACACAACTTGGTTCTACTAACTTCTACATACCAGCCCGTGGTATGAGTGTATATAGAAGGAGGTGGACTAAATGAAGTAGCTAGCTGATTAATGAACTGTACATGAAGTGGATAAAAGGCTTTACAGTTGTTTTTTTTTCTCCCCAGAGTACTTAGAGGAAAGTTCAACTTTTGTAAATTTTAACAGTTCAATAGCATCAAGTAGCGCTAAAATTATTAAATTTCAGGGTCCTGTCTGTTCTGCTGTTTCATTCAGAGCAAATTCAATTTAAATTGCTATATAAACCGCCAGATCAGGGCCCTTGGTGGTAAAACACTGAGGCGATTCTGACAGCTGAGGTAAGTAAACGCTGGTCGTGTGCAGTGGGCGGGAACAAGCAGTGATGACATTACTGTTTAACTAGAGCGTCTCATTTATCTGTCTTATAAGGTTCAATAATGGTTAGAATGCTGCCTATTTAAACAGCTGCATATGTAGACAGCAGCTACTAAGAGTACTCACTAGGTTTTGGGACACACCCTTAATGTTTTATCTTATCAACTTTTCTTTAGTCTTTTGTAAATATAAGCTCATTCTGAAACTGATGCCTGCAACACGTTCCAAAAAGTTGGGACAGGGGTGAATTAACACTATGAACATCGTTAAATGTTCTGAAAACATTTTAAAAGAGGAGATGTAAACATGTTCGGTATAACAGGAGCATTCAGGACAGGCCTAGTTCTGTATAAGCAAGGATGGGTCAAGGTTCACCACGCTGCCAAAAATGCATCAGCAAATTGTATTAAAACAGCATGACTACGTAATCAGAGAGTGCGGGTTCTAGACTGGTCTGCGGTCTCTTACTGAAAATGTGTGACACATTATGAAGAGCAAAATACAACAATAAAGGCTCCATACAACTGCACAGCTGAAGACTGGTATAATGGAAGAAGGCCAAAAAAATCACTTTCAAAACTGATCAGTTTGTGTCTTCAGGCCACATACAATTATTTTATGCAGGTAAAAGGAAAGATGACGTAGTAAAGTGATAAACCTACTTGTGTCCCACCTTTTTGGAACATGTTTCAAGCATCATGTTTGGAATGAGTGTATATTTAAAAAATAAAGGTCAGAAGTTAAAACATGGGGTAAGATAATGTTTTTGGGCTGTTTTTCAATTTATCAGCTCAAACAGAATTCACTCATCACTGCTTTCTGTGTTATTGGCATTTCACACTGTGTCACAACTTTTTATGGAATTGTGTTTGTAATTTGGCCAGGGGTGTCTAGACTTTTGTATCTTTATCTTGAACTTTATCAACACAGACAGTACCATTAAACCACAGTCCAATTTAAAATAATCCAAAGCACTGCTGAAATGAGACGTATAAGACTGTCACTTACGGTGCATGAATTCTCATGAGTTCTGTCACAATATTGAATTTTTATAGTCTGATACAACAGTTTAAAAACTTCTGATATTTTAGTCTTTTTTCAAAACAATAATATCAAAACAAAAAACATTATTTTCACAACACTAACTCTTCACACCAAATGTATTTTTTAAACGATAACTAATAAAAGCTTGCAGACAGACATCAAGGCTTTCAGTGACCAGATTACAGTTCAGGTTATCTTAGCCTTAGAGTAAGGATCTTAAGTCTTATCTATAAAGGCCCAGTGTAGCTGTAGGTCTTCACAGGATCACCCCTGAACTCAAGCCCAATGTGAGAACTGTCCAGTAGGAACGTCCCTCATCTCTCCTTTGATTGGACAGTGCTTACTGTGAGTGTAAGTTATCAGGCTAGCTGATAAAAAACTCCCCTTGGATCAAATGTTCGAAGACTAAACCAAGTAGAACAAATGAGGACATCAGTTGAGATCCTGCTTGGTGGTAATGAAAAACCTGCAGCCACACAGTCCCTCTGTGGATAAGAGTGGACAGTAATGAGCATCAGAAACAGCAGTTTGACTAACAATATGACCATATGTAGCAGAACTGACACTGACTGGAATGTTTCACTAGATTTTTACTAATGTGAATATAAATTAATACCACATAATACATGTTTAGTCTTTGCTGTACTTAATTCACCACTTAATCAATGAGCTGAAAGAGACTTTTATTTTGAAAGAGTGGTTGTACTGGCTGGGCGACTGGAGTTTAAAATAACAAAGCGGCATCACTCCATCTTTTTTCTTTTCCACACTGATGTATGATGTAGATCTGCAGTGTGATTACTATAATTCACAGGTTCAGCATTAGTTTTCACTGCTATGCTGACGACATGCAGCTCTACATACCTGCTAAACCAAATGAGGCTCTGAATCTAAATAATCTTGAAGAATGTGTTAAAAATATCAGAAGCTGGATGATGAACATTTTCCTTCTTCTTAATCCTAACAAAACTGAGGTTCTACTACTTGGACCCAAAGCAGAGAGATCTCAACTCTCCAAATTTGAACTAAATTTAGAGGCCATACGGTCATTCCAAGCACTACTGTAAAATATCTAGGTGTCATCTTTGATTCTAGTCTCTCTTTTGATACATGTTTGCAACATTGTTAGAACCACATTCTTTTATTTGCTAACATCACTAAACTACGTAATATTCCAGCCCTAAATGATGCGGAAAAGCTGGTGCCTTTATAACCTCCAGGCTGGACTACTGTAACACCATTTTAGCTGGATGCTCCAACACTTTACTAAATATGCTCCAACTGGTCCAGAATGCAGCTGCTAGAGTCCTTACAAGGACCAAAAATTTGACTATATATCCCCAATCCTATGGTCATTACACTGGCTACCTGTTAAATTTCCTGTAGAGTAGAAGATTCTTCTCTTAATGTATAAATCATTAAATGGCCCCACAGAATTAATTATTCTCCAGGATTTACAAGCAATAAATCTTATGACAATATACAAAATATACCTGTCTGTCCTGCTAATCAATCTCTCTCTCTCTCCCTCTTTTTCTCTCTCTGAAATCAATCTCTTTCTTTTTCTCTATTAGAGCCCCTGAGCGACAAACCACCAGACCTGCTACAGTCACCACCAGAGTTTCAACCACCATGGAGTTTCACGTTGTACAAACCTGCGCAAACCTCACCCTCATGAACTGACCCTCCTGATGCTGCTGCTGCTGCATTAACCATTGCTCTATCTGTTTTGTTTTGTTTGTTGTTTATACTATAATATTTTATACTAAAGCTGTTTGCTATCCGGTGTCGACCAGAGGAGGCTAGGTTTCCCTTCTAAGTCTTGGTTCATCTCAAGGTTTCTTCTTTTTGCTCTTAGGAAGTTTTTCCTTGCCACTGTCTATCCATTTCTCTGTGAAAACTGCTGTACAGAATAAACCACTGCAGATTCCATTGTGGTTTGACTCATTCAACACAGCGCAGAGTGGAGCTGTGAGGGAGTCTGGGTTACACATATGTACATGAACAATGGAGCAACAGGAGCACCTGCACCCCCAAGTTTATATAGAAGGTTACAGATGCTCACTGTCCACTTTATTAATGTAATGTTGCCCAAGCACAGAAAGACACTCGCGGATCTTAAAAACGGAAGTTGGTTTAATGAGAGAACAGTAAGATAAAAAGACAGACTCAGGGCAAATCCAAAATCAGAATCCAAAAGCCAGGCAAAAAGTCAAAAACTGGAAAATACAAAAGTACAAGCGACCAGAGCAAAAGGGCAAACACAAAAGAGCAATATCCAAAAACAGGCAAAGGGTTCAAAAACACAAGTCATGAAAAATAGTAAAGAAACGTTCAGTAAAATAGTGAATGGCAATACCTCGCAATGAGGAGGACAAACCAGAGTCCTTTTAAAGTCTGATGCAGACAAAAACAGGTGAATTGCATTAATAATCAGGCGATTGCAAACGAGGCAGATGCTTGTGATTGGCGGAAAGGGTGACGTCATGAAGACTGGAGAACCCGGAAGTGACCCCTCCACTAACACTATAACGGTATAAAAACTAGAGTCATATTTAGCGTGACCCCTCCCCTAACACTATAACGGTATAAAACTAGAGTCATACTTAGCGTGACCCCTCCCCTAACACTATAACAGTATAAAAACTAGAGTCATACTTAGCGTGACCCCTCCCCTAACACTATAACGATATAAAACTAGAGCCATACTTAGCGTGACCCCTCCCCTAACACTATAACAGTATAAAAACTAGAGTCATACTTAGCGTGACCCCTCCCTTAAAACTATAACACTATAAAAACTAGAGCCATACTTAGCGTGACCCCTCCCCTAACACTATAACGATATAAAACTAGAGCCATACTTAGCGTGACCCCTCCCCTAACACTATAACAGTATAAAAACTAGAGTCATACTTAGCGTGACCCCTCCCCTAACACTATAACGCTATAAAAACTAGAGCCATACATAGCGTGACCCCTCCCGTAACACTATAACGCTATAAAAACTAGAGCCATACTTAGAGTGACCCCTCCCCTAACACTATAACTCTATAAAAACTAGAGCCATACTTAGCATCACTTGAACTTTATTTAAAAATTCTATTCACTGTTAATATGTTTAATTGAAGAACATGTAAATGAGCCTTGTTTTATGTTATTTATTTTAGATGATGGCTTCCATATAAGCTACTGTTTAACATTGCTTCTTCAAGATTTACTCAGTTATATGTTTTATAAAAACTTCAAATATTTACAGTGTAAATTTAATAAGTTACAATTATTAAATTTAATAATTTAATGCTTATTGTTCCTAAAACTGAAGAGCTCTATCACAATATGTCCATATCTCAATGTACCACAGAATATACTGACAATATAACAATGAGTCATAACTCCAAAAATAGGGGTTTCTATTAAAGTGGCCAAGCAGTGAACCTGCAGCTCTTCATAATTACTAAACCTATAATAATTAAAATTTATTTTTAATCTGAACTGAAGATGTAATGTTTTCAGCCTTAATAAATCATCAATAATCCAATATTAATCTGCTGTATTAATGTAGATGTAACACTCACCGAGCTTTTCTGCAGACAGTCAGAGCTGGGATCAGTCTCCTATAACCCTCCTCTGATGTGTTGTATTTCTTCAGGTCCAGCTCATCCAGAACCTCCTCTGAGGTCAGAAGCATGCAGGCTAGTGCTGAACACTGTCCAGGAGAGAGTTTCACTTCTGAGTGTCTCCCTGATTTCAGATACTCCTGAATCTCTCTGGAGAGAGACTCGTCATTCATTTCAGACAGACAGAGGAATAGATTGATGGATCTCTCAGTGGAGATAATGGAGCTCTCAGTGGAGATATGATATTTATCTTCTCCTTTGATTAACCTCTTGATGTGCTCTCTGGTTCTCTCTGAGCTGCTCTGTGTTGGGGTCAGTAGACCCTGTAAGAGTCTCTGATTGGACTCCAGTGAGATCCCCAGCAGGAAACGGAGGAAAAGATCCAGGTGTCCATTCTGACTCTCTACAGCTTCATCCACTGCTCCCATCAGCACCTCATCCAGAAGAACTTTCTTAGTCCTCATACTGTTCTGTGGGTTAAATCTCTGCAGTTCCTCCATGTTTTTGCTCTCATAGCAGTGAAACACATAAACAGCAGCCAGGAACTCCTGAAAGGTCAGATGAACAAAGCAGTAGACCTTCCTCTGGTAAAGCACACATTCCTCCCTAAAGATCTCAGTAAAAATCCCAGAATACACTGAGGCCTCAGTGACATTAATGCTGCTCTCTCTCAGGTCCTCTTCATAGAACATCACATTGCCCTTCACCAGCTGTTTGAAAGCCAGTTCAGCCAGTTTCAGAAGAATGGTTCTGTTGGACTCCAGCACGTTCTTTGGGTTTCTCCTCTTTTTCTCCTCATACTTCTCATTCTTCATGTTTGTCTGAGTGAGCAGGAAGTGTGAGTACATTTCAGTCAGAGTTTTAGGGATTTCTGTATGATGCTGTTTCATGATTTGCTGAAGAACAGTGGCTGAGATCCAGCAGAAGACTGGAATGTGGCACATGATGTGAAGGCTCCTCACTGTCTTAATGTGGGAGATGATTCTCTTGGCTTGGTCTTCATCACTGATCCTCCTCCTGAAGTACTCCTCCTTCTGTGGGTCACTGAATCCCTGAATTTCTGTCACACGCTTGATGTATTTAGGAGGGATCTGATTGGCTGCTGCTGGTCGGGAGGTTATCCAGATCAGAGCAGAGGGAAGCTGCTCTCCTTTGATGAGGTTTGTCATCAACACACCCACTGATGATGTCATAGTGATGTCAGATACTTTCTCACACTGTTCAAAGTTCAGTGGAATTCTACTTTCATCCAGACCATCAAATATAAACACAGCTTTGAGCTGATCATAAATCTCTGGGTCCAGATCTTTGAGCTCAGGATGGAAGTCACACAGAAGTCCATGAAGACTGTATTGATCATCTTTAATCAGGTTCAGCTCCCGGAACGGAAGCACAAACATGAGCTCTACATCCTGATTGGCTTTTCCTTCAGCCCAGTCCAGAATGAACTTCTGCACAGAGACAGTTTTTCCAATTCCAGCGATGCCTTTAGTCAGAACACTTCTGAGCTCTGGCTCTTTTGGTCTGTTATCTTCTTCTCTTTCTTTGTGTCTGAGACTGTCAGCCTTCACAGCTCTAATGTTCTCTTCTAGTGTTTCTCCTTCAGGACCTTCTAGAGGTTTAAAGATGTCTAAGCAGTTGATTGGAGAGTCTTTTAAGCGTCTCCTGAAAGTTTTCTCCATCTGTAGAACCTCATGTTCTTCATTCACTCCTTCACTCTCTCCCTCTATGATGTAGAGCTGTGTGTAAATCCTGTTCAGGAGGGTTTTATTCTCTTCTGTTCTGATTCCCTCAAATATGCTCTCGTACTTCTTCTTCATGCTGGTTTTGTGTCTCTCTAAGACTCTGTGAAGGACGTCATCCACTGGTTGGTGAACATCTTCCAGAGTGTTTATCTGCAGTGCTGTTTGTGTGGAGTGCTGCCTAATCAGGACCAAAACACAGTAACAAACATCATTAACACAAATACCCATTAAAGTTTTGTAATAATTTATTTAATTAGATTTGAGATATTTTGTTAAACAAAAGAAACAAAAAACTTTTTGTTTGTAGTAGTTTATAGGAATGTAAAACAAAGCTTATCTGGATGACTTTATCAAGAATCAACAATTATATTTAATATAAAACAAAGCTTATTTACATGTTCTTCATTTAAGCATAATAACAGTAAATATAGTTCATTAATAAAGTTCAAGTGAATCTTTAAATGTGAACACTATAGTTTTAACTGTGTAAAATTACATATTCAGAATGGATGCATTCAGATACATTTCACATGGTAAACACTTTGACAGCATTACGTATGAAGAATGAATTTTACATTTCTAACACTTTCAGTAAATGAATAGTTATTAAAGGCAGTAAAGCTTCTCTTGACTGAAATGAAGCCAGTAGCAGCTCTTCAGCTGACAAACAAACAGTATCTTTGGAGTTTGTACTTAATTACTTAACATTAATTGAGGTTAAACTTTTTAAATATTAAACGTTTTAAATATTATAGAAGCGGTTATTTATGGTTAAAGGTTCACTAACACGCATTGTGAATCAAACCTTTACTGAGGCATGTGGCACTATCTGGGTCTCTGTTCTGCTCACTAAGCTGATGATACGATACGCCAATGAGCTGGTACAGGCATCTTAATAACACAAATCTCAGTGTACAGTGAAAATAACTGACCTGTTTGTAAAATCTGCTCATCACAATGTTTGTGATCATGTTGAAAGTGATATTATTATTATTATTATTATTATTAATAATAATAATAATAATTAGCAATATGAATAAAAATAAAGCACAAATCAAATTAAGTTAATGCATTAATGAATAAAGAAATTCTGAAAAAAAACTACATATAAACAATGGATTAATTAAAAACAACATTTATAAAAAAGTCTTTAGTCACTTGAAATTGTGTTCTGATTTCCTGTCTCTACTGGTAAATTGTTTTTGTTGCAATAAACATCATGAAATAAAAAATTTTGAGTAATTAACATTGTTATGAATTATTGGTTAACATACGTTCTGGATATTTACAGACATAATCTATGAACTTCCTTTCGCTTTCTTTAAACCTTAATAATAAATAGTTAAGTCAAGTCAAAGTTTATTTATATAGCGCTTTTTACAACTGGTGTCGTCACAAAGCAGCTTTACAGAAAAATCCGGGTGCGAGCCCCCATGAGCGTCGCCAATGGCGACAGTGGGAAGGAAAAAACTCCCTGAGAGCAAAAGCAAGAAACCTTGAGAGGAACCAAGACACAAAAGGGGAACCCATCCTCCTCTGTTTGACACCTGATAACAAACAGTGTTAGTATAAAATATTAGAATACAAAACGGGAAAAACAGGTGGAGCAATGGTTAATTAGATTAGTTTATGCAGCAGCAGCAGTATCAGGAGGGTCAGTTCATGCAGGTGAGGTTTGCACAGCTTTGTACAGCATGAAACTCCATGGTGGTCAATACAGTGCAGATCAGCCAACAGAGATGGAGCTCTGGTGACTCTAGCAGCTCTGGTGGCTCCCATATGGCGACTCAGGCAAACGTTGCTCAGGGGCTCAAATAAAGGGAGAGAGAGAGAGAGAGAGAGAGAGAGAGAGAGAGAGAGAGAGAGAGAGAGAGAGAGATTAACAGGACAGGTCCATTTATGGAGAGACATTAGTGAGTTAATAGTGCAACTGATATTAGCAAAATGCTTGTGCAAACAGAAAAGTTTTGAGTCTAGTTTTAAATGTAGAGAGTGTGTCTGAGTCCCAAACGAAGGTTGGGAGGTTGATCTCACAATTTTATGGAAAATGCTTGACCACCTGCTGTGGTTTTTCTAATTCTAGCAACTGTCAGCAGGCCGTTATTTTGTGAGCGGAGCGTACATGTGGGTTCATATGACTGAATTAATTCACTAAGATACTGTGGGGCCATTTAATGATTTATACATTAAGAGAAGAATCTTCTACTCTACAGGAAATTTAACAGGTAGCCAGTGTAATGACCACAGGATTGGGGATACATGGTCAAATTTTTGGTCCTTGTAAGGACTCTAGCAGCTGCATTCTGGACAGTTGGAGCATATTTAGTAAAGTGTTGGAGCAACCAGTTAAATTGGTGTTACAGTAGTCCAGCCTGGAGGTTATAAAGGCACCAGCTTTTCCGCATCGTTTAGGGCTGGAATATTATGTAGTTTAGTGATGTTACGCAAGTGAAAGAATGTGGTTCTAACAATGTTGCAAACATGTATCAAAAGAGGGCCTAGAATCGAAGATGACTCCTAGATTTTTTACAGTAGTGCTTGGAATGACCGTATGGCCTCTAAATTTAGTTCAAATTTGGAGAGTTGAGATCTCTCTGCTTTGGGTCCAAGAAGTAGTACGTCAGTTTTGTTAGGATTAAGAAGAAGGAAATGAAAGGTGACCATAGCAGGTCTATTTAGGCTTTATTGTAGACCTGAAAGATCAAACAGTATTTAGTGCTGGTTTAAGGAGCCGTTAGTCACAAAAATTCTTCTGCTTTGAATTAACTCACTGTAAATAAACTCATAATTCATTAAAATGGCCTATTTTGAAAATAAACATACAACCTGATGTATTGACATGTAGAGTGTATTCAGTGTAAAAATAAATAAACAGTGTGATGAAACATGCATGTGTTTCATGAACTACATACACACTACACCACTTGTTAAACAGACTAAAGGTTAAGAGCAGGTCATCCTCCCCCTCTGCTCTGGTCAGTGATACCCTAATGTCTCTGCTTCCTGTGGGCGTGGCTCCGGTTCCTGTTTTACTTCACCTGCTCAAGTCTGCAAATATGTGAATGTCGCCCTGTTGTCCAGTCTCTGCCTTAACATAAGTTCCCATAGCAAATTAAAATAATGACCCATGAAACATGAATATGAAACTTAAGCTTCATAGCTTAAGTAAACACATTTGTAACATTAATAAATGCAATCCTAATAAAAGTGAAATAAACTAATTTGATAATATAAATTTTATTATTTTATTAGCATTAGAAGGCTTTCAAATGAAGATAATGTGTAAAAATGTAACTCAAAATAGCCGCCTCTGCTCCAGCATAGGGGCTGTTGAGTTGCAGAAGTCATAACTCTGCAATACAAAAACAAACTATATAGTAAGTCTGCTTAAAGTGACATTTAAGTATGTAAAAGTGAAAAAATTGTCCATCCTATATAAAACCTTCCTGGGTCTGGAAGTCCAGCAGTTTAAATAATACTTCATACGTAAAAAAATAACTTTTTCCAGTCCAAAATAACTATTAGCAATAGTTTACAAAAACTTTAAATGCAGTGCAGGACGTGAGCATGTTGACATGCTCTGGAGTAAGGCTGGCTAGTGTTCTCTTAGCTAACACACCCATTGTTTTCCGACGGGTAAACTAATAAACATTATGATACTAACATTAGTTGGCTAAAATACGAAGTGGTAGAAAACACTTTTACCCTGTCGGAGCAGCATTAGGCCTGATTCACACATGCTACCTCTGTGTGGTGTGAGTGCTGGCCTTCATACATATACCGTTCAAGCTTCAGAGCATAGTAGGAGAAACTTTACAGCCATTCATTCTTCCAGGCAGTTAAATGGTCACATCAGTCACTCTGCTCAACAAAAATACAATTCATAAAAGTGCACGGTATGTTTGTTTATCCTGGACAGTGTTCTGACTTCTGATTAGGAAAAAGTTTCAAGCCTTTAGACCAACCAGGAAATCTGTTTGCAGCACAGAATGTTTAACTAGTATTTCGTCATGAATTAAAAGAATTAAAAATAGCATTTTTATGTTTGTCCACCGTTTCCTGTTTACTTTTCATTGATTTTCAGGACTTTTGACGCGCGTGGCAGTTGGAAAAAACGTCTCCTGGTCTATTCTCTAAACAGCGCAATGCTTCAGTGCAGCATCACCTCGCATCTGCAGCCAGTGTGAAAGCACTGACCATTATTGAATATTAAATATGTGAAAAACTCTTTACTCTGATCTTTACAAACTGATCTACAACATGCAGCCCAGAGCTCAGATACATGTTTACAATGATTCACTGTCAGAACTGTTATTTACTGTTAGCAGTTATTTACCCTGAGTCAGAGGTTCCTCTCCCTCCACTGGACTGTGCTGGTAACATCATGGACCGGTCACTCTTCACAGACACACAGCTGGTTTCTCCTCCTCCTCTGCTGAAATTCAGAGGTTCCCCCATGGACCAGTCACTCTTCATAGACACACAGCTGGGTTCTCCTCCTCTGCTGAAATTCAGAGGTTCCCCCATGGACCAGTCACTCTTCATAGACACACAGCTGGGATCTCCTCCTCCTCTGCTGAAATTAAGAGGTTCCCCCATGGACCAGTCACTCTTTCTAGACACACAGCTGGGTTCTCCTCCTCCTCTGCTGAAATTCAGAGGTTCCCCCATGGACCAGTCACTCTTCATAGACACACAGCTGGGATCTCCTCCTCCTCTGCTGAAATTAAGAGGTTCCCCCATGGACCAGTCACTCTTCACAGACACACTCCTCTCTCCATGTTCTGTAGAACCACAGTTCTGCACAGGTTACTCTGCTCTACCTGCTGAGGTTAATCAGGTGAGGCTGGAAGTGAGGAACACTTCACTGCACCATTAATACTGTAAACTCTCTCTACCTCAGTAGAACTGTCCTCCTCTCTGGATCTTCATGGTGAATCACTGACTCTTCATGGACTCATAGCTGAGATCAGGTGAGTCTGATCTCTCTGAATCAGACTGAAACAGAACAATGGAGAAAAATCATACTGGAGTCATACGTAAAGAAAATATGATAGTCTGCATTGTGGAGTTAAAAATTAATTATGGTGGATGAACAAACGAGTCACCCACAGCTCAACTACAGCATGAACAAGTCACCCAGCTGTTAGCATTTAGCTGTTAGCCGTTAGCGTTTTCTCCAGAATAAAAGTCTTTAAGAAGCTCATTCTGAACTATTTAGAACCAAAATGCGGTGATTTACATAAATTAAAGATTCTCCTCACAGAAAGAAGCTCTGATGCTCTAAAAGCTCTAACATTTCTCTGGGTTTACTGGCTACTTGAGCATTAGCTTAGCTTAGCTTCAGTTATCTAACTTTATCAAACAGACCCTTTCAGTAGAACCTAAAACAGAACCCAGCAGCTGTTCCTCTCAGATTAGTGTGGTTCTCATTGTTCTCCTCAGTAAACTGTGAGTGTTGATCTTCAGTAATTACCTCTGAGCTTTTCTCTGTTTATGATCTTCTCTTCTCTGAACAGACGCTGCTCCACTTTCACTTTCACTTTAAACCGCTTTGATCCCATTCAGCTCCTCCTCGACTGAGCGCGCGCACCAAGCAATGCCCAACAGCTCTGAACTACGGAAAGAGAAAAGGTTCAAAACACGTTTGTAGGGCCGCGTGTGTTCATCCAATCAGCCACGAGCAGCACAGAAAGTACTGATCAGTATGATTGATTAACGTTTAGTGGGATTACAATAATGTATTTCACTGAATCTCAATGATGCCGTGTTTATCTGAGTAAATAAATAAATAAATAGCAGATTTGCTGTCTGATTAAAAATGAGGTTCATAATAATCGCTGCTTTACTGTCTAACTCCAGCGTATCATCACTGATGTGTTGTTGGGGTCATACAGACTGAAGGATGGTCTATATGCCATTTACAGCTAAGAGAAGCTCCATAATGGACACCGAAACACACACCATGGCAGAGGAGCGCTGTGACTGACTCTGTTAGACTCCATCAGTAATCAGAGTCAGAGTCAGGCTCATTCTGATCAGCTCAGAATGAGAAACACTGCTAGTTTATCAGAACAGCTGCTGTTCCCTGAATATCCAGTAGATGTCGCCAGAGTGGAGACTGTTCAGCTTTGCGTTTTGTCCCCGCTGTCATGCCGTAGTTTCCTCCGCTCTGAGTACATTTTAATAGGCTGATTGTTCCCGAGATTCTCTATGAATGGACTTAAGTACATTTTAGACCAGCAGTGTGTCCGACATCCGGCAGTGTTTCAGGGAGACGCCTGGTTCCTATCACCATCTCTAAAAAACTTCCTCTTTAAGTGTTAATTATGAATAATAAGATCAGATTTTAAGATTAGAAACTGATCTGGAAAATTGTAAATATGTAAATATCTGTAAAAATACAGAGAACCTCAAACAGATTATTATATCATTAATTTCAGAGAATTAAATTAAAATAATCAGTTTTTTAAATAGTTTATATTTGTCCATATCTTTATTGATCACCTTTACTGATGATTTTATCACTCTAAAAATAATTCAGCGGCTCTGAAAATATCAGAATAATAAAAGAGCTAAACTGCCTTAATAAAATCTCTGAGTGTCACTAAAGTGATTGACTGCGTTGGACACACCAGAATAAAAGCCTATAAATCCAACAGTTCATTTTGTCTTAAATTTGCATTTATTATTTCAGTTTATTTCCCGAAAAGAATCAGCAGCTGATTAACAAATTATATTTTCAAGATATCCTTAATAGTTTTGGTAAATATGGACCAAAATATTTGAGAAAGGAGTCATTACACTGATCAGTTTCAGGAGCTACAGTAAAGACTCAGCCCAAATCAATATTTTTATCTTTTCCAAGTTATGCTGAATATAATCGACATGTAGAGAGAGAGAGACAGAGAAAGAGAGAGAGAGAGAAAGAGAGAGTCAGAGAGACAGAGAGAAAGAGAGAGAAAGAGAGAGTGAGAGAGAGACAGAGACAGAGAGCGAGAGAGAGAGAGACAGTTTGCAGAAGTCAGTTTGCATAAGTTATTACTGTTTTGAGTTAATGTGGCACTGAATTCATGTGTACAGACTTTATATGGTGTAATTCTCTGAACGCTGGTCAGCCATGATGTCGTACATTAGCCAGTTATCTTAACTACCTTTCTGCAGCGGCGAGTCCTGATGATCAAATTAGTTAATTAGTGTCTCATTAAATTATTGTTTAATGAGACACAAATGAGACTCTATTCTAGCTGATATGAAGCTGAAGTCGCTTCTTACTCACCTGCTTCTTTTTCTAATTTCCCGTTCTACCTTAAATGGTGCAGCAGTTATTATTATAACACTTGGGGCACCAGAATGTAACTGCTGCACCATTTGAGGTGAAAAGAAAATTCAAATAGGAAGCCAAATTCAGCCTCGTGCAGCTGGTGGAAGGAGTGTGAGCGCTAAGAGAGACACTCTTGCTTTATTAAAGTGATTATTATTATTATTATTACTGTAAACGTTGCCCAGTCTGTGACTTGTGTTACCGCTATCAAGAGTGGAATGATGGTGTGCACAATTTCAGCGACCGCATATTACTTGACCTGCCCTTGTGTATCAAAAAAAAATAAACACACACACACACACACACACATATATATATATATATATATATATATATATATATATATATATATATATATATATATATACATACAGACACACAAACTAACAACATTGGCATTCTGTCCATACAACAGTCAGCAGAGTACCAGGGGTAAAGTTCCCCTCAAAAGACATGGTGCTCCATGCATATCTGATTTTGAGACTCTCACGGACCATGAATACCACTATACTTGTGTCACCTGTGGTGATCACCTTGCTGTGGTCATAATGGATTTGCATAAAAAGGGTGCTTTTCATGTGTCAAATAAGAATGTTTTGGCAGAACATGCTGATGCAGTTGTTCTTTGCATTTTGTAAATTATTGAAATTATTTAAGAATGTGCTATTAAGTTTTTTCTTCTTCACTAGTTAAGTGACCTGGAAGGACCTCCAGAGAATTACACCAGACAAGTGGATATTGCAAGGTTTTGGGATGCCATGGAGATGATTGGTTGTGGCTTTGTAAAAAGAAATGAAAGCCTGAGAAAGTATTCCTTATGCCAGCATTTCCCAACCCTGGTCCTGAAGTATCCCTGCCTTATACATTTGTGTGTAGTTCCAGCTCTAACACAGCCACTTTATCTCAGGAAGGGCTTGTTATTTAGCTGATTAATTCGAGCAGTTGTGTTAGAAGAGGCAAAACAGCCCAATATGGAGGGCAGGGGGTACTCCAGGAGCAGGATTGGTAAAATGGCCTTATGCTATCAGTTCCATATGCATAATAGACCAAGATATAATAAACTACTCTTTTTGGCATTTTCTCAAGGTTCAAAACACAATCCGTTTGCTGTCCCACCAACCTATCACTTTTGAGCTCAATGGATTGGTCCGCGTAAAAGGAAGTCTGATATTGTGCTCAATGCTGAGTTTGCCACAGCTCTGAAATCGGTTGCTGAAGTAGAGTTAACTGTCACTGAGGACCGTCTGACAGATGAGCTCTAAACAAAGGTAAATATGACTGTATTGAACTAACAAACTTACTTACACTTTAGGGTAGATGCTGAACTTTATTTTGTGGTGTCTATTAACTGTGTAAACATACAGTGACTAAATCTAAATTAATCTTATCCAATCTTATCTTCTCCTAATAGGACTTCTTTACCTTGACCTCGACTTTACCTTGCAGTTCTTTTCTAATTTGTTGACTGGGCAGGAGTGATACGAAAATTACGTAGAGAGTGTGGTTTAGACTTCAGAGGATCTCCTTAAGATCTCTTTCTCACACTTTCCACTGAGATGAAATCAAGACACACTTATGACGAAGTGTTTGAGAAAATTTGAGCCACCTCAGGTAATCCCATTTTTGACTAAAGCACAGTGTTGTTTGAGAATGGTGCATATTACAGTATGCTGTTTGGAAAAGTGTATAAAGAAATGACTTTAAATTTGTGTGAGATTTAACGGTAGAAACCATATTATGATGCATTCACTCTGAGGTCATTTGAAATGTAAAATATTATTTGTACTCAAGCAGAATGACTGTTTATTTTTATGCGGAGTGGCTATCTTTCTTTTTTTTAACTCTGACATTGTTGTCGTCTCATTTACACATATTCTCTCTCAGGGCAGTCACCATGTGCCCCTGTGGTATTTTGTACAGTGTGAGGCACAACATTGGAGCTGAGAGTCCATGTGACTTTGCAGATATTCTTCTGTCATGGAGGCACATGCCGAATGTGGCTATATATCACTTTGTGCATGGGCCGCCCATACTAACTTGAGGGAACCAGAAATGATGCCCTTTAGTCCCTTTGACGGTCGCCCATTGGCACCTTCTAAGGAAACAATAGCAAAACAAGGAAAGGTGAAGATTTCACTACACTAGCTGGAGAGCCCCAAAGACGTCCCCGACAAGGGGGTTCACCCAGTGACCGGCTCGACAGAGCATTATTGCCTGTATGACAAGTTTCATGAGGCAAATGCGAAGGATGACGGGGACCTGCTGCGGAAAATCTCCCTGGTCCCACAGCTGGCTGGCAAAGTAATTAGCCAAGTGGCAGAGCAACTTTTTGCCAAATTAAGAAAAAACAATCACTTCCTGAACATGAGCCAGTCCTCTACTCACGTATTCTTGATGAGGAACAATGTTCATCACATGAATGCACAAAAAAAACAAAGCGAGGTTGGAGAGAATCCAGAGGGCCTTTGGAGTTGATGTGTCACTGAACATCTCTAGACAAGCTGTTATAGGTGGGCAACATGGATACAATTTTCAAATCATATTACATTTTTTTTGTGTCATTAACAATAAATAGTACTATTTATTTATTTATTTATTATGTCCAGTATATAAGGAAATCCCTGGCAAATGCAGAAATTACATAGATGTGTGGAAAGGGAGGTTTTAGAGTTTTGTTTGACCACATCTAAATTACCCCATTTATCGGTTGCAAACATGTTTGCCAGTGAAATGTCAGGCTGTTACAGCAATGTCTTCCAAAAATGTATGTCTTTCACTACAAACACATGATTTGTTTTATTTCAGAGCAGCTGAACTGCATCGATCAGTGCTGTACTAAATCTTACAGCAGCATTTTGTTTCATTCTGTTGAAGATTCATTTGATGCAATTCTTATTCCAGGAACTGCAGTTTCCTCTGAGATCCCTGCCGAAGTGCCCCACACACAAGTGCCGTTTTCAGTTGGTGAGTGAGGCGTTGGATGGATGTTTGCCTGGGATGTCCTGGATCATGTGCTTACTGTGGTTTTTTACTGCTGGATTTTTTTTTTACTGCTGGAATGTCGACTTACTGTGGAATGTCGACGTCTGACATCACTGGACAATATTCATGCCACAAGAGCTGCTTGGAACTTCACTTTACATCCTGGTCAGAAGGCACTGGTACGATTGTTTAAAAATATAGAGATAAAATATATTTTAAAAACTCAGTAAAAATGAATGTAATCACAAATCTCAATATCTGAACATTGTTTCAAGCTTGATTATGT